TAAAAAGTTTTTAAAAGTTAAAAAAAAGAGAGAAAGCGAAAGCTTGTCCCCCATAAAGTACTCAGCACTGTGTGTGGCCCACAGTAAGCCACAAGGCCAAGCACAGGGCCAGGCATGCGCAAGCTGGCACCTGTAATGAGATGTGTAGCAGAGAACAGGCCGAGTGAGGCAGGGGGAAGAAGAACATACCTTTCCCACCCTCCTGTGTATTCCACCCCTCCTCTCCAGGAGGGCTTCGGCTGTGCTCAGCTCTGATGGGAGCACCCAGGCTCTCAGCCTGGAATGCAGGCCCAGGGGAGCATACCATCCCCAGCTATCCCTGAAGCAAATGAAAAAATACAGAGACAGGAAATGTGCTTGTGATCCTGTCACTGGGATATGCAAATAAAAAATATAGGGTAGGCCTATCTGCCTAATATTCCTGCCAATTCATTCTCTGGGTGTGATTAAAACGAGCAATAAATTCCTCGTGAGTCTCGGCGGAGAGACAATCGGGAGTGGAGATGCGGGCTGGCATGAGCGCGTCCCCCTCAGCTGAATATTCATCACAGGATAGCTCCCCATATTTTTGTTTTATCTGCCATCATGTGCACAGAGATATATTTCCACCTCTCCTTCGTCTGTTAGTTAAGACATGAAAATCGGCTAGGCTTTAGGTATTAAACTCTACATCTACTGAAATCCTTCACAGTGAGACCACAGGCTACCTCCTCTACAAAGCTGCCCTGCCCATTCGGCCAGGAGGCGATCCATGCTTTCCTGGAGCCCCCACCAACTCTGTGCAGACCCTCCTGAGGTACGAGTCAATCTGTGGGTATCAGAGCTAAGAGTGCCTGTGCCTCTCCAGCCAGATGGCATGCTCAGGGACAGGGGCTGGGCCTCATCCACCTCTGGATCTTCTTAGGAGGCCTATGGAGGCTGTGGTGCAGCAAATGCTGAGAGAACTAAGGAAACGGCAGTGAGGAGAAAATCATTCAGGCCACTTGAGGTTACAGAGATTCTTGGAGTAAGTGACACATTTTAAAAGGCAGAATGAAATAAAAAATTAGGCTTATGGATAATTTTTAAATGGTAAAATCACCAATGATATTAAGTGAAAAAAAGCAGATTCCAAACATAGGATCATAACTCAAACACTTTCACGGCCAAATAGGAAACATAAATGTCTGACAAGCAAGGACATAATATAACAGTGAATGGGGGAACCTGGGGCTGAAGAGCCTGTGCCCCCAACCTGAAAGCATTAAATTTACAGTTTTGAAAAACCGGGTTGGGTTACAGTTTTGAAAAACCGGGTTGACAAAATCAAATATGGCTGCCAGTTTGAGACCTCTGGTATATAGAGTAGGCTATCAACCAGGTTTAAAAAAGGCCATCTATGAAAATATATAGAGATTTTGTCCAGAAAAGGCCAATATAATACCATAAGAGAAAATCTCTGATTCAAATCTAATAGTCACTTATAACAACTAGATTTTTTGTAAGGGGCCTGCTTTTCTTGCATTTTCAGTTTTTCCATCTGGGAAACGGGTAATAAGAGAAATACTTCATAGATTTGTTGTAGGATTAGAAAAAATATATATTAGAGCACCTGGCACAGTGCCTAGATGCGTTTGATAAATGGTATCTACTATTATTATAAATAATTAAAAATATTAATAGTGGTTATATCTACATAGTAGGGCTAGAATGCTTTTAATCGAGATTCAGCTCAGTTGTCATCTCTTCCAAGAAGCCTTCCTTGATAAGTCACACAACTGATGACTTGGTGTCATGGTTTACTTGCCTATCTCCCTCTGAGACTGTGAGCTCCCCTGGTACATAGATGTCATTCATAAATATGTACTGTGTTATTTAATTCTCTTCATTTTACTTTTCTCTATTTCCAAATCTCCTATAATGAGACATATGACTTTAATATTTACAAACTTTCTATAATGAGCCTAATTGGACTACAGAGTGGTAGGTGAAGGTAGAGGCTGAGCTGGATGGCAGGGGGATGGTGGACGGACAGAGGGGAGCCAGATAAGATCAGGGCGGCAATAACCCATGTCTAGACAAAGAGCCAGGAGATGAGGCCTCTGGCTGGAGCCTCAGCACCCTCCAGGCCTGACTCATTATGTTGCAGATGTAGGGCCAGAACTCAGAGAGGGGCAGCTGCTTCTTACTTACTGGTAGAAGGAGACAGAACTCAAGTCTAAAACGGTGCTTTTCCCTCAAAAGTTTGCCTCACAATTTTGAAGAGGTAGTTTTTTGCAGCTTGGAGGAAAAAAGCAGAGCAGAAAGAACGGGTGACCAAGTAGATGCTGAACAACGGGGAGAAAGACAATGCTGCTGACATCCAGGGAGAGCCGAGGGGTGGTTTCCATCGGTAGAATCTGATGGGACAGCACAGCAATAAGGTGGAGCTGCTCAGTGGACACTTGGATATTCAGGATGGAGGACATACAGATCAAGTGTACAGAGGGGACAACAGATTGAGAGTCTGCGGAATCCCTGAGCTGGCTCTAAGTGGTCTTCCAGCCTTTACAGGCAGCCTCTTCCACTGTGGGATAGCTCTGTGGGGAGCTCCTCCCTACAGCTGCCACTCAATATGCCTGGCTCTCTTCTAACTTTCCCACTGAATGAATCTCATCCCCTCTCTCCCAGAGTTGTTCTGGTGCCTAAATGCAGTCTCTCCTCTCCAGGCCAGAAGCTCCTATTGCCTTCAACTTTTTCTCATGGCACAGTTCCTCTTGCCACCCTGCTGCCCACCTCTGCACAGATTCTAAGAGCTCGATGTATACTTAGGAAGTGGTGTGTGCAATTGCCCTCCTTGCCCCAGAAGGGTCTGACCAGCACAGGAGATTGCAACCACCATTTGTTCGCTCTGGACATTAACCTTGTAATAATGTGGCCAACAACAAGCCACTTCCCTTGGGCAGCCAAACTTTGTTAAGGGTTCCTCAGTTGCCCTAACCCCTCTACTGTGTTAGCACTAAGAGGCCTGTTCTCTTGCTCCACATGGTCAGACCAGCACCTGCCCTATGTTACATCACCTGACAAACTGTGAGTACTCTTAGCTAAGTCCAGCGCTTGTCTCTCAGGGAATCCAGTTGGGCCTGAAAGGGGAGGTGATGATGGGAGTGCAGTCCCTGAGGTTATTTGAAACAGTGCTGAGGGATTTCCTTCAGGCGCTTGGGGAAGCTAACCCAACTTCCAGGGCTGCTCCTAGGAGTGGAAAATGTGAACAAAGGGAGAGAAGCACTTGCCCTCTGGCATTTAGTAGCTCTTTCTATTCCCAAGGCCCTTTGGGATGGGCTATAAAAAGCTAGCCACCCTTCCTAACTCCTTCCTTTCTCCCCAGGAAACTACTGCAAGACAGTGACTAAGGATACTAGGGAGACAAACTCTGTATGGTTAATGCTGATTACCAAGTATTACCAGATCTCTCCTTCTAGGCACATGGTAGGATTACTCTTCTTGCCCCCTGTGATTGGGTGGGAACATGGGATTAGTTCTGGCCCAGGAGTTGAGTGTAAGAGTCCTACCTCTAGGCTGAACATGTAACTGCAAATGTAAGACCCTTCAGAGCATTCTTTTCTCTCTGGCAAGCAACTAACAACAATCCAGTGGTGGCTACTCTGCCAGTCAGGATTCCTGTGATGAGCCCAATCCACCCCCACACCGAACCACAATGGACATGCAGCAAGAGGCAAAAATAAATCTTTGTTGTTTTAAACCACTGAAATTTTGGGTTGTTACAACAGCATATCTAGCTTATCCTAACTCATACGCAAATCATAATACATTGCACAGAAACTTAGAAACCATTTAGTCCAATGTTTTCATTTCACAGAGGGAAACTGAGCTTCAAAGAAGGGAGGTGCTAGCCAAGGTCACGTGGGCAGTAAGTGGTGGAAGCGGGATCAGAACCCACATCTCCTCTGTCTCAGTTCAGTGAGCTAAGTACTCTGACTCAAGACAGAGAGAATATCTGCCACTAGGTGGGACCTGTCACTTAATCATCCCAAAGCACTTCAGTCAATTTGCAGACAATAGACTATATGGTGCTAGAAAGAGGATAAGAAAGAGAGTTAGAAACCAGGTCTTCCAGCATCAGTTCTGCCATTAAATCTTACATGGCCTAGTGGTCATTTCAGTTTTGATGCTGATGCTGGGACCAAAGGCAAGCCACATGACACCCGGGCTCCAGTTTCCCCAGGAATAAAATGAGTCAGTTGATTTAGGTTTCAGAGATCTAAAGCTTGTGCCCACAGCAGAGCCCCCTCAGAGGCTACTCTAGGAGGGAAGGGTGGGTCACGTGGACAATGTTCTGGTCCATCTTCCCTTCAACTAGAGCAGCAATTTTCCTGATTTATTTGTTTATGCTCTCTTAAGATTTCCCATCACTGGACTGATGATTTCTAAGGTCCTGCCAGCTCTGAGATTTGTGATTCCAGTTTTTGGATTCTGCCCAGTAGTTCCTGAGTTACAGCTCTGTGGCTGTGAGGGGTGGAAGTCTTAGCCTTGTTTTCAGGGAGTTCAAAAGTTTGGTTGAGAAGATTGAATTAAGATCGAGATTTTTGGGGCTCAGACTCTTTATCAGGCTCTCTGGAGTGTGTCTGGAAAGAAGGGGTAAAGGAATGGTTCTAGGAGTGATGATGGCAAAGAATTGCTTGATGAGGCTATAGAACACATGAGGCCTAGGAGAAATACTACTTGGGCTAAAGACTTTGTTTGGCTAGCCCCTCTCTTCTGAAAAGAAGCTGGGAGGCCTATCACCTCAAAAACTGAATTTGAAGATTAATCCTCAGAAGCCAGAAGTGGCCTAGGCCTCTCCCTGGTCATGACAGGGGCAGCTTCCTATTCTTGATAAGACTGGGGGCTGGATTTGTATTTAAACAGACAATAATCACCTAAGGAGAAGTGGCCTTTGGTGTGGAGTCTGACGTAATTTAATGAGTGAAAGATTAAATGATGCTTGGAGTGACCACAGGACTCTTTTATCTGAAACTTACCTTGGCCTCAGAAGTCCTCAGAAGCTTCATCACCTCCCCTTCTCGGGCATAATCCAAGGGTGTGTGTCCCATTTCATTCCTCTGCAGGGGGTTGGCTCCTAGCAGGAGAAGGATAAGTGGTCAGAGGCTCTATGAATGGTCAGTGGGACCTTAGCCTTCCCTGGAGGTGGCTTAGGGCCCCAATTTCAGTGTGAGGAATGCCCAAAGAAACCTAAGAGATCACAGAATGGCAGAAAGACACATCAAGCTACTCTGGGAGGAAAGTTCTTAGTCCTTTCTTACATAGAGGTCAGGTTATTGGAGCTCCTATGTGTGCATGCGCACAAGTGCAGTAACACACTACCCACATAGAAAGGTACTACACGCATGTAGATGTTATACATCCAAATACACACAGCTGAACATGCTAACAAAATATACCAAATAAATACATAGACTAATATACCCCAACACAAACACATGTAAATACACAAATTCATATACACATTTGTTAAAATGTCCACATTTTCCAACACATTTGATAAAGATGAAAATTTATTCATAGAGTCATATAAAGGTTTCTCTCTAAAGCAGAAAATAATATCCCAAATAACAATTAAAAGGTTCTCCTCCTTGCTGCACTGTTCCTCTCTCTCCTTTTATGCTCTCTTACCTCTGTGTATCTCCTGCTTGCCAGAGTCAGCTGAGTCCTCTGGAAGGGCATGGGCATCACCAGCAACCTGGCTATGCCACCCTAGCTATTGGTAGAGTATGTATGTGGGCAGGCATTTCCTCCAATTATTAGTTTCTGTGATTTGAGGACAAAGAACTTTGAGTATGACAAAAAGAAGACATTAGCTGGGGGCTATATATCTACCTTTTCTCTAAGTACCAATAGCTAATAAACATGTATAAAGTGTCTACTTTGTGTAAGACTTGGCAGTTATGGAAGAAATGCTACTCTGACCCTCTGTGCTGTCAGAATCTCCTTCCCCAAACCCAGGTCTGAGCACCTCACTCTCCTCTCCAAAAGCCATCCATTCCATTCAATTTGGCAAACCTTGATTGAGTGGGACCTGGGGATGCAGAAGGATCAGGTCTGGCCCTGCCCCAAAGGTACTCCTCTCAAGGCAAGAAGACAGAAATATAAGAAAGCTGTTCTTGTACACAGCAGATGCTCAATAAGTGTTAACTGGAATATTAAGGTAATAATTATTTAGTGTTCCTTGAGCTTCTTTCTTGCTAAAGAAGTGTTATCCAGAAGTAAAGAAGGATTATGTCCCTGTCATAGGATATAATAGGCTGCTGGGGACCCATTCGGCACAGGGCCTGGCTCAGGGTAGGTGTCCAACCACTGTTCGTTGGACAGTGAAAATCGGTGTTTCTCAACTTCAGTCTTTGGTAACATTTATATCATGATTAAAAACTATTCCTATTGAAGGTTTTTGCTTCTTAAAAGACCTTATAAACTTACCAACAAACGTATAAACGTTTATTAAGCATTTCCATGCGACTGTCTGGGCTGCAGAGGATGAGGCTAAACCTCTACACAGGTGTGACAGGAGGCAGGGGGATGAGGCAGAGAGGAGGATGTACAATCCAGGCAAAGGAAACTCTTATTATCAATATGTAAAATTAATACTTTTATATGTGATTCTATTTTCTAACTGAAATTTAATATAAAATATTGTCATATATTATTTTTATTATAATTCATATACTATAAAGTTAAACCTTTAAAATTATATAATCCAGTGGCTTTATATACTCATAAGGTTGTGCAACCATCACCACTATCAAATTCCAGAACATTTTCATCCCCCTGAAAAGAAACCCCATACCAATTATCAGACGCCCCCCATTCCCTCCAGCCCTGGCAACCATTAGTTTACTTTCTGTCCCTTAAGATTTGCCTATTCTGGATATTTTATATAAACTGAATCATACAGTATGTGGTCTTTTGTGTCTGGCTTCTTTCACTTAGCATAATGTTTTCAAGGTTCATCCATGTTTTAGCATGGCTGAATAATATTCCATTCTGTGGATATAGTACACTTTGTTTATCCAGCTGTCAGCTGATGGACATTTGGGCTATTTCTCCTTTTTGGCTGTTATGAATAGTGCTTCTATGAACATGTATGTACAAGTTTTTGTATGGATGTATGTTTTCATGTCTCCTGGGTAGATACCTAGGAGTGGTGGTGGTAATAATAATAATAATAATAATAATAATAATAATAATATATTATTTATTTATAATTATATTTATTGTATAATTTATAATTTATAAATAAATTTATAATTTATAATTATTATTATAATTTATTATATAATTATATTATAAAATATAATTATTATTATTATAATTATAGTGCTAGTATTTACTGAGCACTTACTATGTGCCAGGCACTGTTCTATGAACTTTTTGTACATTTTATCACTTAATCCTCACAACAACCCTGAGGGATAGGAATTAAAATCCCCAAGCTATAGCGTGGAAACTGGGCTCAGAGAAGTGAAATAACTAGCCCAGGGTCAGAACACTAGCTTTATTTGCTTGAACCAGGAGTCAAATCCATCTCCAGGTTCTTCTCCTAACTTCAGTTCCCTGCATTCTCATCAGGGTGGCCACAACACACGCCTGCTGAAAAATCCTCCACTGGCCTTTTTTTCACTGCTTACAGGACAAAGTGCAAATTCCTTATTAAGGAGGATGTCTGTGGTGTTCTAACTAGCGGGCAAGTCCTCGGAAGCTCTGTTAAAGCCACATTCTTTTTTGGGCTGGCCCGTGGCTCACTCAGGAGAGTGCGGTGCTGATAGCACCAGGGCCACGGGTTCGGATTCCATATAGGGATGGCTGGTTTGCTCACTGAATGAGCGTGGTGCTGACAACACCAAGTCAAGGGTTAAGATCCCCTTACCGGACATCTTTAAAAAAAAAAAAAAAAAAGCCACATTCTTTTAATTCTATTGGTACTCACTGGGCACTTTATATCTGCAGGGCTCTGTATGCAGGATGATGAGGGATCAGCAAAGCCAAGGAATGGTTTTCTTTTTTATATTTCTTGACCACTCTGTAGCAACTGATACCTTGGCCACTCCCTCCTTTGAGTTCTATAAAACCACTTTCCAGGTTTTCCTCCCACACCTGTGACCATTCCTTCTCTGCTTCTTGCAGTCTCCTCTTCCTGTCTTTAAGATTAGGTGCTTCCTAGAGTTTCAGTCTAGCACAATTCCAGATCTCTAGGAGCTTATGGGGACAAGAGATGAGCATACAACTATAACACAGGTTGAGTGTGATCTCTGTGCTAAAGGAGGGACAGACAGACCGCACTGTGGGGGAAGGAACAAAGTGCTCAGGGGCTTGTTCGCCTGGCCCAGCCTTCCTAGCCCATTACTGCTTTCTCTGGTGCTCAGCACTGAAGGGACTCTGTGAGAGCTGAGGGGCCAGTGGCAGACAGCATCATTCTCTCCTGCCAAAGCTCCTGTGACTCCCTTTCTGCCCCAGCTGTGCTACAATTAAGCAGTGATAAGGCCTCTCCTTTCTTAGGCAGCCTGAAGGGGAGCTCTGTTGCTAGATATATGCTAGAGTGGAAGGATGAATTACGGAAGAGACCTCTGGAAAGAAAAGAAAAAAACAGCAAAGAGAAGAAGGGAGAAATGGGTGGGAAGGGAGAAGGGGCGGGGGAAGAGGAAATAAGGGGAGAGAGGAAGACAGTGGAAGAAAGAACAGAGGATGAGGTTAGCCGCTTCAAACAAGTGCTGTCAGTGATCTATATTTGCTTACAGAATGAAAAATGTGTGCCATAAACATTGGCCACTGAGTAATTTCTAGTAGGAGTTGTGTCACTTCTCATAAAGGATGGGATGGGGAGAGGTAGGACATCTCTGCACCTGGGCCAGCCAGCACTGGGGCTCCTTTTAAAGTAGTGCTGGGTCTGTCTCCACCTAGGAGGTTCTCAGGTCAGGCCCCACCTGACCACTCATGGGGGGAAGCCAGCCGTGCTCCTCAAGGTTCTGGAGCCTCAGGGCAGCACGTCTGCCCCCACTTTAGGAAGGCTGAGGCGGGGGCACCATGGATAATGTCCATCTAATATTAGTCCCCCAGCCCCACACCCTCACTCTGACTTGACTAATTGCTGTAATAATTGATAGAACCTGACTTCCACTACTGATCGATTTCACCTCCACGACCAACGGCCACAAACCATTACACTCCAATAAATAACCATACTGGGCCTCACCCGCCTGCCCTCTCCGGGGGTATGGGATGGCCCGTGCCCTGGTCTGACCTCCCCTTGCCTCCCATCCAGGGCCCCTCCGGGCCGAGCAGCTGGTCTAGAGGGCCAGGCCTCTGGGAGCAAGTGAGAGGGCTGGACAGACGTGGGAGTGCTAATCGCAGGCCATCCGTCACCTCCCACTGGCTGTCTGGGGCTGGGGCAAACACCTGGAACACCCCAGGCAGTGTGGTGCAGGACCCTTCCCCTCCTCTCCTCTCCCTGGTCCAGATTAGTATGTCCCAGCTTATAATATTTGATAAATAGCAGACTGGCTTCCTGGCAGTACTGCTGCGGCTGCGCCTGCCTGCTACAGCTGTGGAAGGTCACTCATTGGGGAAATATGTTTCTGTCAGTGGTATTGAAAAAAGTTTAGTGGAGTGACAGGCCTCAATTTTTCAAATTTTATTAACTCCATCCTCTTAACCATTTGTCTTGAATTCCTTCGGATTCTGGGGGATCTGTCAATAGGGCTCGGGCCGGAAAAGAAGGGTGGGAAGTGGGGGGTCATGGGGCTGGTGCTGGTTGGTGCCACTGTGGCTGGCTCGGGTTTCATTACCTGGGCAGGCTAAGGTAGTGGAAATGGCATTGGTGGGAGAGAAGGCCTGGCCCACTGGTGCCTAGGGAGCCCACCGCTCTTCTCTGGTGTAGCACCTGCCTTTGATGTGACAAAATCATAGACTCTCCAAGTGGAAAAAGACCTTAATGGTGAGTGCTTCCAATTTCCTAAGACATTCTTCTTTAATACATCTGAGAGAAGTGGTCACTCTGGCTCCTATAAATGTTTCTAATACCCAGCTCTAATCTCATGGCTCTCCAACAGGATTCCCCCGTTAAAGTGA